TCTCTCTCTCTCTCTCTCTCTCCTCCTCTCCTCCTCTCTCCTCTCCTCCTCTCCTCCTCTCTCTCTCTCTCTCTCTTACATACACACGTGCACACACACACACACACAGTCTCACATCCTGCAGACATCTTTGAAAATATGATTAAAGCATGCCTCTTTTCACCAGAAAAGTGTGCATGTGCAAACACAATTTGGAATGAATGTCAGGGTTTCCCTGGCTCCTGAAGTCCATCTATGGGGGTGATATATCTTGTTGGAGGACAGTTCGAAAACAGTGCTCAGATCATCTGCTGGTTTCCACCTGTACCAGGATCAATCAGGGTAGCTGGGTTTCTTAAGACATTTTGAAAACTCTTAGAGCATTTTATAGCACATTTTGGAACCTGGAAAAAGCTACATTTCCTCCAGGGACTTTGAACACTGTGTGACTAACAACACTAAAAACATTTCCAAACTTGCATTTCTTGGCTAAATGTAGCTGAATTTCTCCACACCCACACCTCTCTTTATAGAAGCTCCCTGGAATGACTTGGTTTCTCACAGGCTTTCTGAGCCTGGCTCCCTAGCTGGCTCTCTCGTTGTGTTCATCTTGGGTTGGGACTGACTTTCATAACCTCTGTCATTTCAGAAGCTTCCCCAAGAGTCCTGGCAACGACCCCTCTCCTGTGCATCTCAGGCCATCGTGTGCTCTGCTCCACCCGACTCTGCCAGCCCAGCACCCAGGGAGGGGCTGTGGGCAGGGAGGTGGATGCCTGGGTGCTGGCCACCCTTGGGGCTCTTTGACCCTCCCCACATGTTGAAGTGAGTCTCAGCTTTCCCTTCAGCAGCCAAGATGCTGGACAGTGGGATGATGGCAGGTCCTTCGGTGCCCGCAGAGCACATGAGGCATGGGTGTGGGTGGGATACCAGCAGCCTGCACCTTGAATGGGGCAGGAGCTGGGCTGCCTTGTGACTTAACACCAAGTCCCATCTTGAGTTCACAGGCCTCCCTGCCATTTCCTCGGCACAGCTGCTCCGCCACTCTCCCTGAGCTCAGCTTACCCATCGTGTTCTCCTGATGGTCCAGTTGGTCTGCCCTCTTGCCAGGCGCTCTTCTTACATTGCTTTCCCAATGAAAACTCTCTCCTTTGTTTCCCTGTGTCTCTTCAAAGCCCCACTGGCCCCCGTGAGACCCCTTTGTGCCTCTACTCCTCCCACCTCTGATCCCTGCCTTCCATCTCTTAACCTCTCCCAGCCTCCCCGCTAATTCCCATTCCTGACGCGCTCATCGCCCTCCTCACTCTGCGTCCTGTGTGCCAGCAGGGAGCAGCCAGCTATAAAGAGTTTATTGGACTGAAAAGTGAGTGAACGTTCTCAGACCTGCTCCTATTTCCCACCTCAGCAAAGCTTTTCAGAGTCACATTTCCAAAGGAATCTGAATCTGGAAGGATTTAGATCCACCGAAAAATGCCAAACCTTCAGCGTTTGGCTGCGCTTGAGATTTTTGGCAGTCCCTCCCATGTCTGATGTTACAAACCCTGTTTATAGATGCCTGGAAAGAAGCCTTTAATGCTTGTATTGTGTTTTACCTTGCTTTCCTTTGGAGGCAGGGAATTGTCAAGTAAGTATGCACAGCACTCTGCAAAAGCCCAGGTGTTGGATGAGCATCTAGTACTAAGTGATCGTGCAGAGTTCACAACTGTGAAGGGTCTAGACTTACAATCTGCTGAATTTGCCACAATGCAGGTTTCTGCCTTTTGCCCCCTCATCTTCAGTTTTGAAGCAATACAGCTGTTAACATGCTTGTGAAATAAGAAAGAAAACATTCTGAGATTGCTTTACTTTTCAGTTTTTAACTGAAAATCAAGGTGAACAAAAGCATCGGATTGCCTCTACGTGTCCATATATACAGTCTCGTGTATATATGAGTGCACAGTGTTTGTGCTTGGATGCATACTCCAGATACACTGTATAATATACGACATATTATACAACCCGTGTATGCCCTGGAAACGAGCCCTGCGTGTAATCTCAAATTCTGCCTTATGAACCATGCTCTAGTCCCCAGTGGCCCCTTGCTCCCGGCCCAGACCTTGGCTTGCTTTTGTCATACATTACAACACTCTGAGGTGAAAGAAGAAACCCACGGATTTCATTCGAAAGTCCCACTAAAACAGAAAAAAGAGCAGATGTCCTGGGAAGCGATAATTAACGCAAAGGAAGTGTCTAATTGTGAGAACTGGCCTGCCCCCGGCCTCCCGCTTTTGCTCAATTTGGCAGCGATGATGTCAGCCGGGGGTGTCGCTGGAGAGATGTGCTCTCTCACCATTCTTCGGTGGTGATTATAATACCATTTGGTCCAATTATCACTTAAGATTACATAACGTGTTTTGATGGAAGCGTTTCTGAGAAAATAAAAAGCTACCTTGTTTTTCCCCAGCATAAGAATGCAAGCCGTTCCAGCAGGCGAGCTGCCCTCCCGAGAAACACTGGGAATGATTAGGCTAAATTATGAGTCGAACTTGATTCAGAAACAAAGCAGCCATTGTGCATAACTCCCAACGACATCCAGGAGGATGTGATTGTTTCTCTGACAACAAGTTTCTCCCCAGCACACTCTAAAATAAGCAGAGGCCCCAGGCGCATTGGCAAAGCCACGGAGAGTGTGCGGAAGCGGTGACCAGGCTTCCTTCTCTCTCCCTGTCCTGTAGGCGCGTTAGTGCAGAGTTTGCCCAGAGACGCCAGGGTATGAGCTTTCTGGATTTGTAGACCGGTGCACTCTTTCCTTTCTGTTTTAGTTCTTTGCTGGCATGCTCGGGAAGCATGGTTTGTGCCACACAGGAATGTCTGTTCACTTGGACGGTGCTTGTGCATGAATGAGGTGGTTGCTAGTGCGGCTCTAAACTGTACTAAGTTTCTCACTTGGCTTTGTTTGCTGCTTACAAGGGGATCAAGGTAATCCTTTTTTCTGCATAGTCCAAGAGCAATAGAGAATAGATTGGAACACGTGGCACGAGCTGGTGCAGGTCCCCGCATCCGTCCCCGGGTTCCTAAAGTCCGAAAAGTCTGATTTAAGGGAATCCCATATTACCAAAAATTGCCCTACTCATTTGCAAGTCCTTAAGAGCTTACCCATTAAAGAAATCTCTTAATTAAAACTGGATGCCCAGATCTCCAAAACTAAGTGGGAAAACTAACCTCAGGTATGATGGTAGCAGTTTGCTACAGACCAAGACCCTGAGGGACAGGGCAGAGGAGGAGTTTGTTCTGTCTTTGACACCTTCACTTCCCACTTTGCCCTTTTGTTTAGTGAGAATGACCTGGGCACTTGGCCTTCAGGGCTCGTTCCAAGACTGGCTTGTAAGTCCCACCTCACACCACGCCATGACCTCTGACCCCCTAATTCTGACCAATGTGGGTACCTCCCTGCCTGAAAAATGGCCAGTGGGTTCAGGAAGCAAAGCCCCTTTCTTGTCAGGCTTAGGCTTCTCTTTAGTTTTAAAGTAAGTCCCTCTGGTCTGTGTTTTCTTCCAGGCTCCCAGGAGAAGGGGACTGACCCTGACTATGAGGCCTTAGGTGTGGGGAGGCCCAGATCAGTGCTTGTGAATCCAGGACCCCCAGTGTCAGAAACTGCTTTTCCTGGGGTGGGGGAGCTGAGACGGGGCAGGACAGGACAAACACGGGTGTAAGTCCCCAAGGGGGGAGAAGAGAGAGAGGAGCCTGGACTGGCCTTAGCTGACCACACTGACCAGGCGACCTTGCTGCTTTTTGTTCAACGCTGTGCTTCTTTTGGCCACTCTCTGTTCCAGACCTCCCGTTAGCAGAGCAGCTCCCCAGCCTGAGAAGCTCCAGAAGAACAATATCACCAAAAAAAGAAACTGGTTGAGGTGAGAAGGTTAAACCATTTTGCTTTTAATCTGATAACTCACGTCCTAAGATCTGCCCAGCAGACATCAACTCCTGCACATCCCACAGGCACCTTCAGGTGAACCAGCATGGATCTGGTGGTCTCTCTTGTCCCCTCTGCCTTCCCTCCTCTTCCCTCCCCACACCCTGTTGTGTCAAGGCCTTCTCTAGCATCTTCCCTGTGCAGTCTCCCCTGAGGCTCCCCACTCTGAGCCCTCCTGCCTTCCACCACACACCCCCTCCTCCACAGCACTTGTCACACACTCCACTGCCATTGTTTCCTACTCATCTGTCTCCCCTACTGTGCTCTGAACTCACTGAGGCCAGAAAGACTCACCTTAAGATTGTTTGCAGGAAAAGGGAAACTATGGGGGGATTTATCAGGGAACACAGCAGAGGTCAGGAAATGCAGCTGAACTTCAGTAAAGACAGGATCCCGGAGATGCAAAGTCATCATAAGCCAAGATGGAGCCTTGTCTGCCCAGCGGGGCCTGTGTGTGCCTGTTGTGATCTCCTCTTTTCCTGCGGACTTTGTCAACTGCTTTCATAGGCAGTGGTGCTGTCCAGCACTTGGGTTTACATCTCCTCAGTTAATTAGGCAGCCAAAATGACTAGTGTCCCCAGTGCTCTCTCCTGGGAGAAACTGTGATCGGCCCAGCTTGAGTCAGTCATCCGCCAGGACTGGGGGTTACGTATGACACCCGGTTTCTGTGAAGCACATGGAGGTGGGGGGAGGCCGGGGAGTGGGCAGACACTAAGTTGGAAGGATAAGAGCTTTCGGATAAGAGAGAATTTTAGAAAAGCAAAGTCCTAAAGATAGGGAAGCTCCTGATATGTGGGGGTAAATTGACACGTCATCTTGACCAAGGGTCACAGTAGATGGGAGTCGGACTGATTGTGGTGACTTAAGGAGTTTGAACTTTATCCCACAGGCAGTGAAAGTCAGTGAATGTTTTTGAGTAAGGAGATGTGGTATTTTAGAATTAATCTGATGTTTGCAGTTGGCGAGCTTTGGAGAGAGAAAAGGCTAGAGTCAGGGAACCTAGACTAAAGGGATCTACATCTTAACCCTGCAACCCCACCAACAACCAGCACAGTGCCTGGTGCCAAAGAGCCACCAGCAGTACAGGTGTGTCAAACTGAATAAAGAACGGATCTGCTCTGAATCAGCCGCTGCTCTTTGTCATAGAAGGCAAGGCAGGAAGAAGGGAAAGACTGTAAACCCAGAGCAATATCTAGTTGTTGCGGGGGAAATGGCAAATTGTGTAGGAGCTTTGTAGGGCAAGCGCCAAGCATCAGAATGAGCGTGGCCCTTGCCTCCGTGCTCTGCCCTGCTGGCCCCGCTGCATCTATGAGAATCAGAGCAGAGCTCTGAACCACCACCCTTCAGCTCACCTTAGATGTCAGACTCCTAGGTACCCTTTACAGGTCATCACACTGGTAGACTTTGCCTCACCTGAGGAGCTGGGAAGAAAATCTAGTTTATTTAGAAAACTCACCATAATTCTATGCATTAGCCTGTCCCCTGCCCCTTAGGAAATGGAAGAAAGGGCATCACTGCATCCCCAGCTGGTCACGTGGCAAGGGGTTGGCTGTCTCACCAGCCTTGAGTTCCTGTGAGATGTGTGGCCGTTCCCGCAGGGCGGTTTCTTCCTCTAAGGGCCCTTCCATCCTTGTGTGGGAACGTAGGAGCTGGCTCTGGACCACGTATTTGGCTACAGAGGGTTCGACTGTCGCAATAACCTGCATTACCTGAATGATGGTGCAGACATCATCTTCCACACAGCTGCGGCCGGCATCGTTCAGAACCTCTCCACAGGTAACTCGCAGGGGGAGACCACCACCTGAACAGAGGCTTTTATTTTAGCCCTTTTATGCGCTTTCCCACTGGTTAGATGCCCCAAAGCTTAAGCATTCTGTTTCCTTTAGAGACACTCCCCTACGTTCTGGAGCCGTGTCATTTAGTCCTAGAAGTGCTCGGGCCCACATTCTCAGAGTCAGGCCTTCTTTGTGTCCAGCTCTCACCCAGTCGCGTCTGTCTGAGGCCCTGGAAGGGAGGGATCCGTGTTTCATCAGCTCCACGGATGCTTAGCCGGGATGGAGGGAAGTCAGAAAGTGGGTGTAGGGAGTGGACAGTAACCGGGGACAAGACGTGGGGGAACTTTTCTCATTGGATTTTAAGTCACCATCTATTTAGCAGCTCATATTTCCAAGTTTTGTTGGTTTTGACTCTGTAACCAGATTTACAGTGAGAATGACTATGAAACAATAAATAAAAATACCTAAAATGTCCCTTAACTATAGCATGACTGAAATTTAAAAAAATGGTTTAAAAAGAAACACCTTGTGGGGAGGGTATAACTTAAGTGGTAGAGCGCATGCTTAGCATGCGTGAGGTCCTGGGTTCAATCCTCAGTACCTCCTCCAAAAATAAATAAACCTAATTATCTCCCCTCCCTGCCAAAATAAAATAATTAAACAATACAGTAATAAATACATTATTTTTAAAAAAAAACCTCAAGCAAAAAGAAGCATTCAGAAATTGTTTCAACCAACACCTTATCTTTACCACCAGATTTAAATATGTTAACATGTTGCCTTATTTGCTTCATATTTTAAACCTTTTTTTTTCCCCTCAAATTTTTATATTCCTTCCTAATTCTGTGTAGTTCATGCCTAGTCTGAAAAAGACAGTAAAATCATGGGGCACATAATAATTTGTCTTCTATGGGGAGGAGGGCCTTGGAATTTTCTGTACGTTTTTCTCAATTTTCCAGCCACATATTTCCAGGTTAGTAACAAAGTGCTATTTCCAATTGTGTTGGAAGCCATCACTCACCTCTCAGTTCCTATGCGTTTGGGTGGGTTTACAGTGGCCACTTGGGCAGTCAACAAACCGGTGTGCTTCAGTAGACAATAAAGTTTTTCTTATCCTTTCTTTCACTTCTGTGACACATGTCAAGTTAGGGCTTCCAGGGTGAAGCCATCACTGATGCCATCCAGGCTCTCAGTGGATTAGCACTTTGATGAATAAAGACGATTAAAAGGGCTTTCCTAAGTATTGTCCTATTTCAGTCTTCCCTTTCCGGTGAGTAAGTGGTGCCATTTTGCTCAGGATAGCACTATCTCCAGCTCCCTCCCCCACCCAGGGGAAGACAGTGTCCTAGACTGAGGGGAGGAGGAGACAGTCTGGACTCTGGAAGCCTCTGTGCTCGGACTGTGCCCTGGCCCCACGCTGGAAGCAGAAGGATTGGCGTGGAGCTTGTGTGTTAGATGAGGATTAGATAGCAGGCTCCGGCTCTCCTCCTGAACCTGGCACAGAGGATGCAGATGTGGGAGGTGATCTCCCATCCCCCCCAGCAGTGATTCTGAAAGTGAGAATTTGACGCTTTAAGCTCTTACTTTTACAAAACATTTCCAGAGTCTCCACACAAAGCTTTGGGGTTGTCCTGAGAGCTCCTTTGGTCCCCTGCTCACCCTGCCCTGTTTCTTCCAGGGAGCCAGAGCTTCTACCTGGAGCACACGGACGACATCCTCTGCCTCACGGTGAACCAGCATCCCAAGTACAGAAACGTGGTGGCCACCAGCCAGATAGGTAGGAGGCCCTGCAGCCACCCAGGGTCTCCCAGCAGAGCAGGGCCACTGACTCACTAGCAATTACTGGGAGAGTCTGCGGGCACGTGACTGATGGCCACCCTTTCCCATGTCGCTGTTGATTTTTTTGAGCCCCGGATGTATGTGTCTTGCCTGAGTTGATGCATCCAGTGATTGGTGATTCTGAGGGACCATAAAGTCTGACCAGTGCCTCATCATCCAAGTAGATGGGTGGCCCCCATCCCTGGGGATGTGCGAGAGCAATTTCTCAGCGCCCAGGTGTCGGATGCAGAGCCTGTATCTGAAGCCTGGAGGTTGTGCTTGGCAAGGGTGGCCTGCGACGTGTGCGCCTGGCTCTTCTTACCCTAGGGAACTGCCAACAGCAAATGTGAACGGATTCACATTTGCGAAAAGTTATTTTTTTTTAACTTTGTCATCTCAAAGGCAGTTTGTAAACATGTCTTCCTGCTTGTTTTCGTTGAACCCATGCCCATTTTTAAATTTACTTTGGAACTTTCTGATGCTGGTGTTGAGTGCCTCACTCATAGAAACATGACTTATTTTAGCTATTGTTTTCCCTTGCCGCTTCCTCATTGCCATTGCTCACCCACTGCAGGTGATATTACGGAGACCCCAGGTAAGGCTGTTCCATCCGTGAGTAGTTTGAATCTGCACAGCAAAACGGTGTCGATGTATCATGTTTGCTGATTGTATCTGGCTGAGTTGCAGATACAAATCATTGACCTCACTGGTGTCCGTTGTATAAACTCCTCCTCGGGTGTGCGTGTTGAACACAAATGCCCTTAGGCCTCTGCCTCTAAAAGCACAGCAGATGTTTCCCGTTGTCTCACCCCCAGCCAGGCCAGGGTGTAGGTCTCTCAGCCCCCACTGCTGAAACGCCCTGGACACTAGTCTTAAAGAGGCTTTTAGGTGAGTGGCGGGGTTGCCCCAGCTCCACCGTTCTCCAGTCTTAGCTCTCGGTCATGCCTCCCACATTCAGGCACAACCCCTTCCATCCACGTGTGGGATGCCATGACCAAGCACACCCTCTCCATGCTGCGGTGCTTCCACTCGAAGGGGGTGAATTACGTCAACTTCAGCGCCACTGGGAAGCTGCTGGTGTCGGTGGGCGTGGACCCCGAGCACACCATCACCGTCTGGCGCTGGCAGGAAGGTAAGGGCAGCGAGCTTGGTGTCCCTCTGGGAGGCTGGCTCAGGCCGTGGGCTGGGCTCCAACCTGGATCTGCGTCACTCCACCGCCTGCCAGAGGCACAGCTGCCGACTCAGCAGAAACCAGGGCTCTTGGGATCCTGGAGAAGCTGCTCATGAGCCACTGCTGTGTCCCTGCCCCCATGGTCATGGGAGTTCTGGGCTGGTTGATGAAGGGTCTTTGTGAACTATCCTCCACCATTTCTGTCCTGACCTTAACGTACCTACCCAAACTCTTGTCCTTCCGGTGACCCCTGGATCTTGCTTCTGCCACAGCTTTGTCACCCTCGTTGCCTTATTGCAGGAACTGGGATGGGTATTCCCACCATAGTCTCAGAAACACTTTTCCCCCACATTTTAACTTTTGTGAAATGGGGATTCACCTGATAATTAAGGTTTAACAGGATTTTTTTCTTGTCCTCCCCCAACACATGTGCACACACAGGCTGCCGCTAAGTTGATGCTCATCTTCAAATCCATGATGTGCAGTCTTCTGAGTATATTCTCAGGTTGGCAAAAGCAGATCCAATTAGTTAAGACGTTAATGAGGTCTGTCTCCGGCCAGGGCGCTTGTATCTGGGGCACGCTGAGCCTGGCATGCAGAGGTGGCACTTCTCCAATCCAGGGCTCCTGGTGTCCCATTATCTCCACATCCTCCCACGGAGGGGGCCGTGAGCGGGGACTTGTAAAGAGATGAGCCCAGTGAGAGGAAAGTGCTAATCCCTCCTGAGCCCGTGTCGGGGGAAGAGGATGGGGACCTGCAGGTGTTTATGGTGAGACTCACTTGTCATAATCCGTCCATTTCTCACTTCCTTGTTCATCGGTATGTTGTGTCCAAACGGCCCTATAATCTGTATCTCGGGGATGCAGGTCATTCCTTGTGATGTCAAATGGATAGCTGATTAAATGAACTCAGCCTCAGATGAGAAATTGAGCATCTTAAATGATAGACTTACAGCATCTTAGAGTCGGCAGGGCTGGAGAAGTCTTCCTGCCCAGTCAGGATCCATCCATGGAGAAATCCCTCCGAGTGCCTGCCTGACGGCTGACTGCTGCTCTCCGTTTGAGTACTTGCAAGGATGTGGCCTGCGTCACTTCACAAGCCAGCCCACCCACTGTTGCAAAGCTCTTGCAAAGCCCTTAGGTGAGGGTGTGACTTGACTCATAGTTCCTCTTCCTCAGTAGTAACTGTACTCTCAGGGTAGCCAAGATCAAGTCTATTCCTAGTTCCGTGGAAGAAAGTTATCATATTAGACTCTATCGTGTCTTGTCCTTTTCAGTTCAGGCTCACTGTCCTCACTTCCCCACCTGTCCTTCTGGGCAGCATCCGCTCTGGCTGTGCACCAGCCCAGTACCTGTGCCTGCCTTGCCTCTTGTTCACCTGGGGCCCCTTCTGACCTCCCAAAGGTGGTTTGAAGGAGCCAGGACTTAAATAAGCTCCCAGAAAAAGAGAAGAATTCTCTTTGGTAACTTGCTCCCATTGTCTTTGTCGGAACCGGTGCGTGGGTCTGTACAGAACAGTTGTGAGTTAGTGATAATGTAACAGCCTGTTACCAACCACAGCTTTTCTGAACTGATTGTGTGTGGTTTTTGCCTTCACTTCAAGTCCTGCTTACAGATAAATAATATGGTTTAGGGGGAGGTTCATACCTACTTTTATTATGATCAGAGAGCATATTATTCATTTCTCATTTGTCTTTAGCAAGTTGTTTTGTGGAATTCTTGGGGGTGTGTGTGTGTGTAAGAAACAGAATTAGATAGAAGTAAAAAAATGGGCTTAATCTATAAAATGAATGTTGTCAGGTCCTAGATACTTGTATGAAATTTGTTCTGAGCAACCTAGAAGCCAATGCAAAGAGGGGGACAGGCATCGCCACAATTAGAAGTGTCCATGAGATTAAAACAAGGAGAAAGCAAACAGTGGCTTAAAAGAAATGTGCATCTTAGTTGTTTATTTTGCATTTTCCCCGTGACTGCTGGAATCAGTCCTCTTTCCATCTCTTTGTTGTCCACTTATACTGCTTTTTCTGCAATTCAGCTGTTCAGACCCTTTTTCCACTGTGGGTTTGGGAGGGTTGTTTGTCTTCTGCTTACACCTTGTAGTTCTTTACTAGTTATTAATGTTAATTCTTTGTTTCTTAGAACGTTGTACGTGTTTTCTCCCAGTCTGTTGTTTGTCTTTTAACTTAGTTTACGGTACCGTTGGGGACTGTGGGTTTTAAAACCTCTGGGCCCTAGGTAGTGGGGAATCTGTTCCAATAAGCCAGGCATTCCATCTGCAGAGAGAGAATTTCTGCCGTGAGGGGTGACCCATGGGTCTCCCCAGCCACTCTTGGGAAGGGGTTCCGGGAGGGAGTGTCAGGGCTGTGCTGGCCCAGCCGTGTGAGAACCACCACCACCAGCTCGCTAACAGCCAGGTAAAAACGGAGGGAGGAGGAAAAGGGGAGGGAAAAAACATGTGAGTAAATACGATAGGGAGAGGAGATGAGGAGGAGGAAGTTGGAGCTAAGACATTAAGAACAAGTTTGAAGAAAATGGGAAGAAAAGATATTTAAAATAAACATTAAAAACTCAAAAGCTGGAAAGTAATGATGAGATAAAAATAGATGGATAAAATACAGGATAAAAGACTAGAAGCCAAAAGAGCTAAAAGAGTGATAACAATACTGTGGTTACTCCGTGGAGAACCCTCAGTGCATCAAGCACCGTTCTAAGGGCTTCCCTTGTATCAATTGTTTTAGTCTCCACAACAGCTTAGAAAATGGGAACTGTTATCCCCGATTTATAGGTGAGGAAACTGAGGCATAAAGAGAGTAAAATAACTTTTCCAAAGTTGTTCTACAAACAAACAGTGGAGTTGGGATTTGATTAAGGCAAAGATTAAATAAAAGTCAGGAGACTAAAAAAAACATAAATGGGGTTGAGGAAAAAGACTAGTAATAAAATATAAAAGGTAAAAATTCTAAACCTAAAAACCATGAAAGAAAAAGGAATATGAGGAACTTTTTAAAGAAATTAAAGGCAGAGAATCTTGGAGCAAAACAAACTGTCTAAAGGAATGTGAGTCTCCAGTGACACTGGTCCTGTGGGGTGAACCCAGTGGCGATGCTGGAGATTGGAGTTGGCCAGATGGAAGATGCCCTTAAGCCTTTTGCCCTTTTCTCATATCTAGAAGCTTCTATCTCCTGGGCCATCCTTCCCTGCTGTGTTCACAGATGCCTGGATGTGGCTCATGGACCTGGGGAAGAGTGCAGGGAGGGGCATTCTGTTAGCCGCACCTGCTGCTCTGGAAAGTTCCCAGACATGCTCTCTTTCCCTCCCTGGGAGTAGCGTCTGAAGGTGGGAGGGGGACGTTGGCAAAGAAAGAACAGGGAAGTGTGCCCTGGGCCTTGGGAGGACAAAGCGCCATCCGTCCTGGGCTGCAGCTCCCCTGCCTGCCCGGGAGCACAGGACCTGCCTCGCTGGACTCTCTCTCCTGCACAGGTGCCAAGGTTGCCAGCCGAGGGGGTCACCTGGAGCGCATATTCGTGGTGGAATTTCGCCCTGACTCAGACACGCAGTTTGTGTCTGTCGGGGTCAAACACATGAAGTTCTGGACCCTGGCGGGCAGTGCCCTGCTTTACAAGAAAGGGGTCATCGGATCCATGGAGGCTGCCAAGATGCAGACGATGCTTGCTGTGGCCTTCGGTGCTGTGAGTTCCAGCAGAAGCTTCCTGAGAGGGGACCCGAACCCCTGGGCGTGGGTGTGGGCGGTGGGTGTAGCTAAGAAGCTACGAACAACAAGAAAGCCGTTTCCACAGTAACTCCTTTACTGGCTTATTTGCAACCGTTATTCCCTTTTCTTAGCACAGGTGGATGAGTTGATTGTATTTTTTCCCCATTTTCCCCCTAAAATGTTAATCAGAAAAAAGCCAGACTCCACCGAGGGCAGGAGTTTCGTTATTCCAGAGACAGACTGACTTGCAAGCCCGGACGACCAGGCTAGATGGCCGCAGAGCTGTGGGGACACTCCCACCACTGGACAGCATCCCTTTTCCCCACCTGTGCCCTCTCGTACCACAAGTCCCCTCACTGACACCCTCACGTAGGCTTTGGGGTGCCCTCAGCCAACACAAGCTCACCTGGGACATTTTGGAACACAGCCAGCGCTTGGTCCTCCGGCTGTGGGTTTACTCACCTTGTAGACCAGCCCAGGAAAGTTTCCTTTAGGCTGGATCCCGCCCCTTCCCCTGTTGTCCCCTGGGGCTGCTCACAGAATCAAGTTCATTTAAAAGCAGAGCTACACCCAGTGGGGAAATGAACTGTCCCCAAAACTGACTCAACAGAGTGAATGGCAAGCCCGGTGGTTTCCTTATTGTATGCTTCTAGGGGTTTCCTGGAATTCTCTTGCCTGTCCCGGGCTCAAGAGGTCAATTTGAGTGTGTGTTTCTCTGGCCCTTGTTCCTTAACAGAGGAGTGAGGAGGTGTGGGGGGACCCTCTCGCGAGGTATGGCCCATGTCCCCATGTGGAAGGTGTCCCTTTGTTTACAGAACAACCTCACTTTCACGGGTGCCATCAACGGCGATGTCTACGTGTGGAAGGACCACTTCCTAATCCGGCTGGTGGCCAAGGCTCACACAGGCCCCGTCTTCACCATGTACACGACCCTTCGGGATGGACTCATAGTGACCGGCGGGAAAGAGCGGCCGTAAGCCAAAGCTCCTCTGGGAACAACTGGTCTTTGGTTATTGTCTTGGGAGATAATGACAGAAGCATCTTCAACTTGGAGAAAATGCAGATTTTTCCTCTCCTGTTTTTTCTGCATGAGGGAGACGAGTCTGCTGTCTTTCCCAGAGGGCCCTGGGGCAGAACCTTCAGAAGTCAGGACCAGGGAAGGAGAGAGGTGGTGTGGTGGTAGTTTAAAAACCAGAGAGGTGTTCTAGAACAGACCCTGTGACTCTGCTGTCCATCAGGTGTTGCTGTCAGTAGCTCTTGGGGACGAGGGAGGAGGGATGAGAAGAGGGGAGAGACTGGTCCCCACCAGGATGATGTCAAAGTGAAGCAGGAAAACAGGAGAAACTTTGCTTTTCCTGTTCAATCTAATAAAAACATAGCTTAATTTTTTTTTAATTACCATTCTCTTTCCTTCCATGATTGTGGCATTTGAAAGTGTTCCAGGGAATCTGCAAGTTCGAGGGGTTGCGGGGGGTAGGGGAGCCGTTAGCAGGGCTGATGAAAGGGTCTGTCCTGCTGGGCCCGGTGTGAGGGGCCGGGACCTGGATGAGATGACGGGAGAGCAGGGAGGAGTGGTCTCAGGACGAGGGTTAACATGCTAGATGTTCTTGATCTTTTTCAGGACCAAAGAAGGGGGCGCTGTGAAACTGTGGGACCAGGAGATGAAGCGCTGCCGGGCCTTCCAGCTGGAGACGGGGCAGCTGGTGGAGTGCGTGCGCTCCGTGTGCCGCGGCAAAGTGAGTGGCCGTGCGGGTCTTGCCCGGGTGGGCCCGGCCTGAGTTAGCACAGACCCTCCCGGCCAGATGCTTGCCCTGTTCTGGGTGCTGGAATCCTTAAAACCAGCCTCCAGGGTATGACTCAGACTGCAGAGAGGAGGAAGCTTAGCAAAGGCAGACTGACCTGGGTGCAAACTGCAACTCCCCCGGGAGGGCTGGCCGCGTGACGCGGCGTGTTACTGAGCCTTTCTGTGTCCGGCAGATGGGGTGTTGGGAGGATCGCATGCATCACGCATGCTCAGGGCCTTTCACTGTGGCCGGCACATGGCCACAGTCAGTAGGTGTTTGCGGCCCTCAGCATAGACGGTACTGTTACAGGCACAGAGATAGGAATGGTTTGCCCCTGCCCACGTCACACAGCCAGGAAGGGGAGAGTCAGGACTGCCAACTGTCTGACTCAGAGCCTCTGGTTTTCAAGGCGTGCCTGGGCTGAGCATCAAACACAACTGTGAAGGGTTTTGTTTTGTTTTTTCGGTTTTTTTAAACCAAGATGTCCAGGCTCCCACCCACAGTGGCAAATCAAATCTCAGGGATGGGGCCTTGAAGAGTATTTTCCTTTTTTAGTTTTAATTATTTTTTTAATTCCTCAGGAGATTCTGAGGCACTTGAAAACAAATCTCCTAACCTCGATTTAATACCTCGTGTTTATGTTTTGGAATTGGTATCAGTCTAAGAATTTGCTCTCTAGATGCTTTCCATTAAAAAGGCCAACCTGACTTGGAGTCTGCGTAATTTGAAACTGGGAGTTTTGTTTTTAAGTAGATAGATGGTGTATCTGGAAGGGTAATTAGACAAGTGGAAGAAGATGGTGTATCTGGAAGGGT